AAGTATAGGAGAAGTTATCGTGAATGTATGTTCGAAATTTGATCGTTATCTTTAAGATATTTTTAGATCAGATTCACACAAATTGAAAGTAAGAAATCAATCTCTTGAATTCCAATATCTTTTCTGATTTCGACAATTTCGAAGGACTAAACTTTTGTAATTTAAAATTTTACTCGATTTTATTTTTTTGAATCACAGAAATAAAATAATACAGGTAAATAAAATTATAATAGAGATTCTTCCAGCAAGAATTACACTGTATTTATACATTCTGGTATTCACGAGTCATCATATATTTATGAAATTGCAAGTTTGATTCTATTTTTGAAATCGTGCAACCAAAAATAATACACGTTCATTCGAAATTTGATCAATTTATTTGAAAATCCTTATTTCGATGGAACATCTCTCTGAAAAAGTAAAAAATCAACCTCTTAAGTTTCAAGATCTTTTCTAATTTACAATTTCGAAAAATCAAATTTTGTAATTTAAAATTTTATTCGATTTTATTCTGAATCAGAGAAATAAAATAACACAGCCAAATAAAATTATATATAAAAATTTTTCCATCAAGAATTGCAATTATATTCATACATTCTAATATTCACAAGTCATCGTATTTAAGAAATTGCAAGTTTGATTCTATTTTTGAAATCGTGCAACCAAAAATAATACACGTTCACTCGAAATTTAATCAATTTATCTTAATTCGATGGAACGTCTTTCTGAAAAAGTGAAATCAACTTAAGTTTCAATATCTTCTCTGGATTGTTTTGATTACAATTTCAAAAAATCAAATTTTGTAATTTAAAATCTTACTCGATTTTCACTCTGAATCACATAGAAATAAAATAATACAGGTAAATAAAATTATAATAGAGATTCTTCCAGCAAGAATTACACTGTATTTATACATTCTAGTATTCATGAATCATCATATATTTAAGAAATTGCAAGTTTGATTCTATTTTTGAAATCGTGCAACCAAAAATAATACACGTTCACTCGAAATTTGATCAATTTATTATTTATTAATTTATTAATTATTCTTATTTCGATTATACGTTTTTCTGAAAAAGTGAAATTATTTAATAAACTTAAGTTGAAACTTAAGTTCAACATCTTCTCTTCTCTGGATTATTTTGATTACAATTTCAAACAACCAAATTTGTAATTTTGTAATTTAAAATCTTACTCGATATTCACTCTGAATCACATAGAAATAAAATAACACAGCCAAATAAAATTATAACAAAGATTCTCCCATCAAGAATCGTATCATTTGAACATTGAAAATCGAAAAATATATAACCTTCGTTGGAGCAAGGATTGGCATTATTGCTCGCCATTAAATAACTCAATGACTAATGTAGAAATCTCGTTATGGATTTCGGCCAATGTTACGGCTGTTTGTTTCGAATTGGCGCAGTCATTAAATTGGAACGCGGCCGCGTAATACGGGCGGCAATTCAGTTTGGAGAAGCAAAGTTTATTGCACATCTTGCGTCGCGTACAACCGCGAAACGCACCCTGTAACAGATGGCCTGGCCCGTGGATATACAGAATGTTGCCATAAATCATTATTAGACTGGTTCCAATAAGAATATTCCTGGACCCCATAATGAATTCCATCAGGCCGGCTGGTGACTCGACGATTCTCGTCGCGCAAAATCGAACGTTCCATCTAATTAATAAATCCTTCCTATCTTCACGTTGTAACGATCGTGTTAATTACAATTGTGAAATTTAATATCGCCGGCCGACACATGTACGCACGTACATTTAATCAATAATCGAAGAAGGGAAATTAATATTGTATCTGTAATTACGATCGAATCGAATTTTTCCCCTCCTTTTTTTAACTCAATTATCCTCAATCTCATTTCTCATATATTATACGCGAAAAATATAAATTTTGAATAATAATCATTTTGAATCGTTCATAATATTAATATTTCGTTAATGCAATAACAAAATATTAAATGGAATGGAATGCAACAGTATCGTTCGATTTCATAATGATCAAACCTAACCTCAAAATTTCGACGATTCTCCTTCTCTGCTCGTTATCAAGAGAGAACTCTTTCCTCTCTCGAGAAAAATCGGCGAAAATTTTCAGATTTCAAAGAGGTGTGTTCCCCATTCCTCCGTTGGAGGTTCGAGATTCCTATCCACGCACGTTTATTCCATTTCATTAACCGATTAACGATTGATCGGCTCGATCTCCATCAGCAATGGATCTCCTCGATGGCTCGCGATCTCGTTCACGGCAATTACCACCTCGATAATTAGTGCAAATCGATGCATCTAGCCGCTTTGTCGCAGTCAGCCAGCGGAATATCCTGCCAGAAATCGAGCCGTTCTTGATTTCAATTCAAATGAAGCTTCTGAACGCGCGAATCGTACATTCCTCTCTCTCTCTCTCTCTCTCTCCCTCTCTATGTGTATATATATATATATATATCTCGCTCCTCCTTATGCCTTTCACGCGTGCAATTCATCCTCTGCCTCTATATACACGCCTGTTTCCGTCTTTGTGTATCAACTTGGCATGGTTGGTGGAGAGTTCGATGAAGCCCGTGTTAATTGGCGCTTTCGGCTTTCGTCTTATTGTTGCTTAGTCTCGATCAAATTTCAACGCAACGATTGTTCCCATCGCTGGATGGATTTGGTCGTTCGAATACGGGAATTTTAAGCGTGAACGGAAGCAAGTAGACTCTCGAGAAAGGGAAGATTATTATGGAGAATTTTAATCGTGGAAATTTGGAAAAAAATTTACGAACGATTCATTTTAAATTCATTTTTAAAGGAAATAAAGGATATAGTTTATTAGTAAAAGGAAATTTTTCTCTCTTGGAAATGTTCGTGAAATATTTGTATTTAAAGATAAAGAAAAAAAAAAAAAAAAAGAAAGAAAGAAAGAAAGATTCGTGATATTCGTATATAAATATATATATAGTTAAGCAAGAGTAGTAAGCAATCTCGAGTACCTCGAAGTAACGAAGCATTTCTGTTAATTTCTGTCTTTGAGCATTGAAGTGATCTCCATGCTGGTTACAAGCTAGGTCCAAGTTTTGGCAAAGTTCGTTATAAAGTTTGGCGAGTTCGTGAGTTTGATAAGTTGAGTATTCAGAAGTTCAGAAAAGTTTGAGTGCGGTATATAATATATATTCGGTATCAATAGTTCGGTAAGTTCAATTACTCGAGGCTCAAAATAAATTCTGATTTCTTCAAACCGGAGATAACTCCTCGTTTGAAGCGGTGCTAATTGGTGAATAGTAACGATTTCGGATATTTAGAATACAAAGAAGAATTTTCGAAATTTTTCTTGAATTTTTTAATACGGAAAATTTTAAATTGCATTGTAAAAAGAACAAAAAGTTTCGTTTAAATTATTTTAATTTTTGTCGCACATTTTTTTGCTTCATTTTAATAAAGAAAAAAATGAAGATTTTACAAGATGTACAAGTAATTTATTCTAACATTAAAGGACGAATGAAATTTTCATTTGAATTTATATTCTCTTTAGAAGAAAGAATTCATCTTTTCAAATTTTACATTTAGAGATCGATCGATGTATTAATTATACATTACATTACAGATTCTCAATGGCTCATTAAAAAAATTGGGAAAAATTGTTTTAACCGGAAATAGATGAAAGTAATGCATCTTCATTGAATTAACGATGCGTGGAAAAATTAATTTAAACGGATATATTATTATTCTGTAGTTGAATGATCTGTCACGCGTTGAACATTCGAAATATTCGGTGTTAATAAAATAACAAATGTTTTACAATAACAAATATCGAACAAATTGAATTTCATTTTAATAAATATGTGTAATTCACTTTAAATTCACGCATAGAATTATTTAATTCTCCTTCCATTCTATTTAATAATTAATAATAATACAATTAAAGCATCATCCACGTGTCTGAAGAAGCCAATTAACCTTGATCCAAGTTAATATCATCTCACTTTTCTTTAATTAACTAGAACTTTTTATCCCGTCAATTTACTCTTATCAATTTACTGCAATGCAAAAAAAAAAAAAAAAAAGAAAAAAAAGAAGGACGTTGAATGTACAATTAAAATTAATACGATTATCAATAAAATGGCCTATTATTAACATTAAGGTTTAAGGTTTATTTATTTCTTTCACCTTCATATACCCTCCATAACGAAAGGGTTAAATTAAAATACAATGCGTTATTTATAGATACGCGTGAGAGGGGGGAGGGGAGGGAGAAAATGATCGCGCGATATATTAAAGCGAACAAGTCACGTTGAAGAATTGATTTCTCGTTTCATTTGCAAGTATTTATATTCCGGAAAAAAAATTAAATATCAACCATTCTTAATCTATTCGTATCTAGATACGTCTCTTTTTCAAATTTTTCAAGATATATAATAATACGTCCTTTCATAAAAATTCTCACGTAGTTACTCCCGTATATAGATATCGTTGCGCGTTCGTGCCGCGTTGTGGCGTTGCTGTACGCGCAACGCGAATAAAACTGTCTCGCTCTATCTCCCATCATCTAAAGCAAACTTCAATTACTTATACAAACTTGATAAACAAGCGGCTCAACTTAATTCTCGCAATACGCCAACTTTTACGTTTATTTCAGCCTCCGTTCCTCAAACTCTGCCCCATTTCGCTATTAATCTCCACTGTATTTATTATCCTAATCCCACGTATCGATGTTAACTTAATTTCTCAAACTTCGGGCAAAGCTTCGACCACCTCGTGAATATTTCATCGGATCCCTTCGAAAGAAGAAGAAGAAGAAAAAAAAAAAAGGAAAAACCTCTCAATTATCCATCGAACAACTCTTCACAACTCAACCTAACCTTACTTTTTTTCAACGATCATCTCAATCGAAGAAGAAACACGCAGATCGTGGGCAGGGAAGATCGACGATTAGATATAAAAGGAGCGTATCGATGCGTAACTGTTCGACAGTGCGTCGAGTGCGTGTCTTGCGAGGAGTCGATCTCCCGTAACGAGTTGCCTTCGATCTTGAAACCTATCCCACCTATCGCGTTTACTATAAAAGATGTCACAGAGGGGTCAGGATGCCAGTGCCACGTGCGAAAACGACATGTCCACGTCGAAAAGTAGCTCGTTGCTACGATTGAATCAGGAGAGTCGGCGTGCATCCGCCGATTGGCAGGATCAGGACACGGATTCCGAGATCAGCGAGACCGATTTCCTCACGAAGGGCGCCTTCCTGTTGACGCCCAGCCACGAGCTCAGCATCGAAAAAGCTGCCACCATTTGCGAGAAGATGAATTTTCGGTAAGATGAAGGAGGAAGATTTTCTTTTTTTTTTTTTTTCTTCAGAATTCTTCAACATATTCTAGACAACAATAAGGATGTTTGTTTAAACTTTTCGTTGGATTTTTTTTCGTTTTATTAAAACGCAAAATTATACTTGGCTTATTTTTTCAAAAGTTTTCAAATCAAGGATTTTTTGAGTTTAAGTAACTTTTTAAAGTAAACTCTTCTTGCGATAGAAATTTTTTGGGGCAAAGTTTTTCAGAAATTTTTTAAGTCGAAGATTTTCGAGGTACATTTTTTTTAAACCTCACTGTCTTTTAATTTATTAAATTTTTAAATTATTCGTATTTTAAAGTTTTCCTAGTTTAATAATCTTACGGAATTTTTAATAAGAATTGCATCCATTGAGAAAGGATTTAATTTCATCGTATTAATTTAAATTATTTATTTTTAATATTTAATTTTGTACGTATAATTTTGCAGTATAAAAATTATTACAATTTTTAACAAATTAATTGAACTACGTTTCCAATAAAATTTCGATTAATCTATCGGATAATATTGATGAACAACTAAATCACAATCGCAATGAATTTTCGTTTCTTTTTTTTTTTTCGAACTCAAAATGACGCATTGTTCCCCTGAATCTGTCTCTAATAATTCAGTATACACAAATCACAACAGATACAAAGCAGAAGAGAGGCCTCTCATTAATTCTAAACACGAGACAAGCAAGTGTGACGACGATTTAATTGAAATTCTCGTTCTCCCTTCAACGTTCCCGATTTTAATGGATGACCATGAACTAGCTAACTTATTAAATTTAACCGATCCATTAAATTGTGTTTTGAAATACAATTTGCTCATGAAAATCAAGCACGATCGCTCGAACGTTAAATGAACATATCACACATCACATCGATACATCGTACAAATATTCTGACTTAAGCAAAAAGCACTTAAACTTAAAGTTAAAACTTAACTCAAAAAAAAAAAAAAAAAAAAAAAAAAAGAAAAAAAAGATAAAGAGTTGGAAACAAAATATAAAAATTGTGATTTCCTCAGTGGAATGTTCTCCCTGACGAAGACGGCTACCGGTATACTCTTCAAGTTCAGCAACATCGACGATTTTCAGGCGGTCTATAAAAAGGGATTTCACAAAGTCACGGGGGCACGGTTCTACAAGAAGGTACTTATCTTTCGGTATACAAAGCGAACCCACTCTCTTCAGAATATTCCCCCCCTCCTCTAAATACGACGTTTCGTATTCATGAACGCCAGGTCGCCATACCTTGCAGACCGGCTAAGACATTCACCGTCTACGTTCTGGACGTACCCGAAGAATTACCCGAAGAGGATATTAGGCACGCTCTCTACAAGTACCGGTCCATAGTCGAAGTGACGCGGCTACCTCTCAACACGGCCACCGTCCGTAAGTATTTATTTCTCGATATAGCGCGATGTTGACGTTGGCCGAGATGATGTTTTAAAGATTGATCAAATTGGCCGCGTCTCGTGCATTTATACGTAACATAAACATCGGTGAGTTTCATAATAAATTGCAATACCATCGTTCGATCATATTTATCCATTTTCGTGTTAACGATTATTATTATTATTATTATTATTATTATTATTATTATTATTATTATTATTATTATTATTACCGTTTTATTGATTTATCATCGAAACAATACTATTTTGTTTGTATATGTTGATGTTTATGATATATATATATATATCGAATGTAGCTACATTTATAGTATATATAGTTATGCGGAAATGCAATAATAACAATTAATCGAAAAATTATCATTTTCGTAAGTTTCGTTGGAAAAATTAGTAGTAGAGGATACATTTATAAAAATACGCAAATTAAAAATTTTCGATTCAAGTAAGATGTTGTTCCTCGATCTGGTAAAAAATTTTTTTTCAATAAATCTTTTTTAGCGAGAGCGTCGTACATAAATACTTACGATATTCGAGTCGATAAAAAAAAAAAAAAGAAGAAAAATAATCAGAAAAGAATCGAAGAATCATCTCTCCATTCAACGGGACAAAAGTCGTGAGCTTAAATGCAATTCTTCGTAACAACAATTAATAAACAAATTATCATTTTCGCAACTACTTTAGTAGAGAGAATACATTTATAAAAAATGCAAATTAAAAATTTTCGATTCAAGTATAACGAGTAAGTATTATTCATTCTTCGATCTGGTAAAAAAATTTTTTCCAATAAATCTTTTTTAGCGAGAGCGTCGTGCATAAATACTTACGATATTCGACTCGATGAAAAAAAAAAAAAAAAAAAAAAAAAAAGAAAAAAAGAAAAATACGAGAAAAGAATCATCTCTCCATTCAACGGGACGAAAATCGCGAGCTTAAACGCAATTAGTTCCATTAATTCCACCCGTTAGCCACGATCGCGTCCCCGAATCGAATTAATTTCCCCCTCTCCCTCCCCCCCCCTCTCTCATCTCCCTAACCGCTCGCCCGGTGACCCGGTGTCTGCTTTGTGAATTAGTGAAAGCGATCAACGACAAGTTGAAAAGCGAGGCCCACAACCAGAACGAGCCAGCGACGATTTATACGGGGCCACCCGTTATAAGGGTGACCCTGGCCAGCGTGGAGGAGACCTCGACGTTGCTCAGCCGTGGTCTGGATTTTTATGGGGCCACATATTTCCCCACCGAAACGCCCCATCCGGCTGCTCAACCCCTGGCCAAATACAAAAACAACAGGTGGGAAACGAATGTGCGCGCTTGCATATGCCCCCGATACCGCTCATCCCCTCCCTCCCTCCCCTATTGAAATCAATTTCAATTTATCGGCTTCGCCGATTTACATCCCCTATTCCCGCTCCTCCTCCTCCTCCCCCTCCTTTTCCCCGATCAACTTTTATTTTTGCGTCGGTGCTTTTAATTGGCTATTTGACCCGTTGCGTGTTAACCCCCCCCCCCTGCGAATGATATCTACGTCTCTTTCTTTCT